AAGAGTCCCTCCCCAGCATCCTTATAGGCCCCCTTCAGATACTGGAAGGCTGCTATGAGGTCTCCACGCAGCCTTCTCTTCTCCAGGCTGAACAGCCCCTACTTTCTCAGCCTGTCTTCATACGGGAGGTGCTCCAGTCCCCTTATCATCTTCGTGGCCCTCCTCTGGACTTGCTCCAACAGCTCCATGTCCTTTTTATGTTGAGGACACCAGAACTGGACACAATACTCCAAGTGAGGTCTCACAAGAGCAGAGTAGAGGGGCAGGATCACCTCCTTTGACCTGCTGGTCATGCTTCTTTTGATACAGCCCAGGATACAGTTGGGTTTCTGGGCTGCAAGCGCACACTGCCTGCTCATGTTGAGTTTCTCGCCAATCACCATCCCCAAGTCCTTCTCTGCAGGGCTGCTCTGAATCTGTTCTCCGCCCAGCCTGTAGCTGTGCCTGGGATTGTGCCGACCCAGGTGTAGGACCTTGCACTTGTTAGATATCTTTAAGAGTCATCCAGAACTGCAATTTTTATCACATCACTCCTCTGCTGATGTGCCTGATGACTCCTCTACTGCAGACAGACTGTTGTTTTGACACCTGCATCAATTGTCTATTTTTGATCTCCCAACTTTTACTCCTCTTCTCTGTTACAATAACCTCTTGGTTGCTGTTTGATTTTTCCTGCTAATGACACCTTTACAGCTTTCTGGAGGAAAACCCAAAAAAAGTGTGAAGATTCATCCCTCTCTTCCTGTTTAGATCCTTCCCAAACCCTCCCATTTGCTCTCTATCAAGCCCAGCTGTCAGCTACAGTCATTTGTCACCACAGACGAAATTTTACTGATTACGCATCCTCACACTGTTATTGCTCTAAAGCCGATGTTAGTTGAATAACATCTTTTGATTTCAGCATCCGTTAACTGCTTGAGAGCTATGAATCAATTCTACTGCCCTTTACCAGTTGGCATCTTTCAGAATGCAAAAAAATAATAACAGAAAAGACATTATGACAACTACTGTAATGATTATTCTTTAGCATGTGACTAGTTGAAGTCCAGTGATAGCTCTTTTATTCAGCTCTCAATATGGCTGCCAGCATCACAAACTCTCACTAGGCTTATTCAACTCTGACAAATATACTGGGAATTTAAACACAGTTCCTATTGTGTTGTAAAACCTTTTCCAGGGTGTCAGAACCAAAATTTTGTTTGGATTCAAAGTAAGTAAAGTCAGAATTTTCCTTGGTCCCACTAATAATTTAATTACAAGAACAGAATACATTTAGAGGTGGAAGAAAATGCCCAGTTCGCTATTAGTAACTATTATTCATTTATTATTAACTTTAAATTGGCTAGGAAAATCATTGGCAAACTGACTTCAACTCCCCCTGTGACACTAGTGAACAGCACAGGAGGAGCAGAGCAAGAAAGTTTCTCTGCCCTCTGGCTCAAGACAAGTTTTCCTGCATTCTTCCTTAGTGCCTTTTTTCCCTTTAAGACACACAAACACGTACTTTTACACAAATGAGGGAAGGAACAAGACATTGGAAGTTAAAACCAGAAACAACAAAGTAGCCCAAACTTGTTAAAAAAAAAAAAAAAAAAAAATAGATTGTAAAAAGCAACAGTTATTGCCAAAAAAAATCCCTGCTGTTTTACCTACTGTAGCATAATTCTCACAATATACCTCAGAGCCAGGAAGGACTCATTACCAGACCTCTGCAGGTTGTAGAGACTCATTAACAAAAGCACATGAACTGGAAAACATTCCAAGGAGGTTATTTATGCAAGAGCCAAAATCAACACACCAGTTTCACCAGCGTCCCAGTGCCAGGGTGGGATTTCAATACCAAAGAGTCACCAGGCAGGTCTTTCAAGTTTAAAGGGAAAAACATTTGTAACTATGAACAGGTTTAGACATTCTCCGTTCTTGCTCAAGTCTGTTTCACCACTCAGTTCAGCTAGAGAGGGATTGAGCTGTGAGATTCTGAAGATGAAATCTGTAAGTGACTCAGGTCTTGGTCATCCATTCTGCTGTTCCATGTTTTACCTTATATATCAACACCAGATGCAGAAGAACCTTTGAATCAAGAAATTTTGAAGGCGTATTTGCACACAAAAACTCCTCAATAATCCCAAATCAAGAAATTACAGACAAGAAGGTAGATACTGTTTTTTGCAAGTATGCACTGAAATGCCCCAGCAATGAAATGGTTTGACAAGTTGACCCAAAATCCAATCCTAGTAAACTGCTAACAAAAGAACAAAACAAAGAAAAAAACCCTAACCCACAACAACACAACAACAAAAATCCAACAAAAAGAAAAACCCAAGCCACCAAAAACACCCCACACCACCACAAAAAAGCTAGAACTCAAAGATTATCCATCAGGTTATATTAGAGCAGCCACATAATTTCTGTCATCCTAGGGTCTCTTCACTACAGGAATAATTCTGGAGGGAAGGAGAGACACCAGCTGGTAGATATGACCGGATACAGCTACTCTTCTCCCCAGTAAGAGTTCCATTATTTCTATACACATTACCAGATTTTGTATCTTTGTCCCTCTCTAACAGAAACCAGCAAAGGCCTGTCCCACATCCATCTCATGTAAGGATGAAGACCACAAATGCACAGCTACTCTAGCACTCTGTAAGGCAGAGAAAGAACGAGAGAAAGAAGGAAGAAAAAGAGGAAAAAGAGGAGAAGATACCAAGCAAGAATATCTGCAGTGTACACTCCTGCACTTGCCTCTGCTTCTGTGAAGGGGGAACTAGTATACAACTACTAATTGATGTGTGAAGGTTTGAGACCCCAATCTTTGCCATACTATCTCAGGAGACATCTTAAGCAACACGCAGCTGGCAGGGGTGTTGAAAATTACTGCTGTCAGAAGTGTGTGTCTGGCTTTAAATACTAATTAGTCAGTTTGAGATGAAAATAAATGGAAAAGATGGTATGCTTTCTCATTGTCAAGCAGAACCCTCCAGATAGAAAAAGGGTGACACATTTTTCAGTTTTCTTTCAGTGCTCTACCAATGAATTTTGTAGTATTTTTTTCTCTAAGTCAGTCATGATGAGAAGGAAAACGACATTTGGCCTAGACATGAAATTGTTCCTCCCAGCCATCCGATAAAGGGAAACTCGTAATTGGGATCTTTGCCATTATCAGCACCCCCGAAGCTGCTCCTGTGGATGCTTTGCATAACAGCAAACAGTACTCGTTATACCTGTGCACTCTTTATGCAGAACATTTGTCTTTTAGAACTATGAAATGTGACTCTTCACTGAATTCCTCTGAATTTCAACCAGAAAACTTGTACTAGAGAAATGTTTACGTTCACTTTAAAGCAAAAAGCTAATGGTTAAGAAAAACACTACACAAAGAAAATGCAGCTCCAGGAACAGATGAAAGATGAGCAGAGAGCGATAGTTCTCTTTCTGTTTTTGAAACTAGCATTTCAGCATTGGTAGAAGGCAATCTAAAGACTTGGAGGGAAAAGTGATTTATTGCACAGCCTAAGCATAAGGAATTGAAACTGAAACTTGAAAAATTGAAACTGAAAAGTCTTGTTAGCTAGATGGTAGCTTCTGCAATATGTGCATGTTAACAGTATTTTTGAGACAAACCATGCACCAGTTGTTTATGTTTTCTATTTGTTACCATTACCATCTTGGAATTCAAATCCACCATTCTGCAGGGTGGATATGACCCTCCAGTTAGAGGGGAACTGACTTACTTTAAAAATAAAACCCAAAATAATTTAAAAAATCCACAAAGCAAAACATAATTTAATGAATCATTCTGGAAATCTTACATTAAACGTCATATCAAATGTTCGCTCTAATGAGGAAGATACACAGGTGAGAAGACCTTTACAGGAAAAAAAAAAAAAGTCTATTCCAAAGCAGTGGATGCCAAGGAGCTCTGCTTCCCTGTTTCTCTGCCAAACTCCCTGGGGCACTGCCCTCTCCCCACTTTATTTCCTGGACTTCCTACAACTCTCCAGCTCACCTCATTCCAGATCCCACCTTCCATTTCCTCAGCACCCTCCTTCTCCAAACACAGACTCATCCCTGACTTTAACCCACCCCTTGTGCAGGTGTTCCCTCCTTCCTCTCTCCCTCTCGCATGTGCGCTAGTGTTCTCCACACCCGTTCTTGTTCTTCACTTCCTCCCTGGATACCCCCAACACCTTTACTGACTGGGGAATGCTTTCCACCTCTGAAACCCATTTCCAGTTCCAAGTTTCCAGTTTCTTGTTAGCATGAATACCTTTATTGTTCTGCACCAAGCCCTTGGCTCTGTTATTCCCCCAAAACATACACACTCCATATTCACCCTGCTTTATCTGCTTTTGAAGCCAAGCCTCCTCTCACCTGCTCCTGACCCTACTCCTCCCAAGTCACACTGCTTGCCTTCATGCACTGCCTCCAATACCATAAACATCATTAACTAAGAAAAAGTGCTTATACACTACATAAGCTATTAATGGCAAATCTGGAAATAAAGTGTAACAGTAAAACCTTACACGCTATAACAAGCTCAGAGCGATTCTGCTTAAATGTGGACTAGACACAAAATTGTATGAGTCTCAAGTACAGATAGGACACCTATGTAATGTACTAAACTAAGCTCTTTGTAAAGACATGAAAAGTTTTCTGCTGAATGAGCACAAGATCAAAATTGTCATCACATCCCAACCCAGAAACACGGTTTCCCCAAGGTCCTGTCTCTTGCTAGCATTTATGCAACCCATCTGGGTACACGCTCTGCAATTTTCTGCTCAGAACCAACAACAACTCTGCAGAGGAGATACTGTCCTTTTAAAGGAGCTGCAGTACTTACATCTTCTCTTCACTCCTCCACCCTTGTCAAACGTGTATTTACAAGCTTATCTGTAAAGGAGCAATAAGGGGTATCATGGAGCTCTGATTAGGTGACAAACGTGATGCAGCTTGGAGCTGGGTCATTGGAATTGTTGCTGCCAGTGCCACAGCAGCATCTTCTGTCCCTGCTTGGTCTGCTCTCTTCAGACTAGCACCTCTCCCTCATCTCCCACTTTCCAGACACTTTGCTTCCCCCTCACACCTCCTTCTTGAGCGGTCCAAGCTCGGTAAGTAAGTGGGCCTGAGCAGAAGTGTGTAATCCCTAGTCAGAGCTGATACTCCTTTCAATTCCCATCCATCGGCTGCCATCTGAGTACACACCCTTACTGGTCCTGAAGTGACTGAAAGATGCGGACCTCAGATACACATGATAGAAACAGATAGGAAAATTAAAGGGCAGAACTACTTGGACAAAAATTACAGAGAAACGGTAATGCAAACAGAACCAACTTGCAGTCCCGTGCTCCAATCACAGGATGCTGTTTCTTTCCCCTATGATCTTTAAGGTCCCTTCCAACCCAAACCATTCTGTGATTTACTGCTGAAGTAAACTTGTAAGGCCTCCATTATATTTAGTTTCACAACAGAAATTATAGCTTTGTTTCATTCTATATACTGTTGTGACAGACAAGAAGTCCTAGTCATCACAGCTGTAAGATTTGAGGTATCAGTGGTCAGGTTAGGTCCTCATATTCAAACGCAAAAGTAGTCTCAACATCTCCAAAACCAAAGAGACTGTCAAAACAATCTCTGAATAATTTTTCAGAATATGGAATCTTCCCTTTGCTATTACTCACAAGAGTGAGGCAAGGAAGACTCCAGCAATATTTTCATACTACATGCAGAAGAGGCACATTGGTGTTTAAATGCATTCACCCTACCACAACTTCCAGAGTCTTCAAATAGTGCTGGACCTGACACCCACACTGGGAATTACTAGTTACAAACTAATTAGATCCAAGCCTTCTTGTTCAATTGCAAGGACGTTTTGCACCTCCAAGCAACCAAATCATCACAGCTGCTGTTGAGATTTATGCTGTTCAGATCTAATGGACAAGTTTCTGGTTATGATTGCTTTGGAAGGAATACCCAGTAGATAAAAGCTGCCTGCTACTTCTTATAGGAATATGAAATCAAGAGTTTTCTGTTAGTATAATCACATCTGTGAGTATTAACTGAACAAAAATCTTACCTCTTTGGGTAAAGATGTTAATTTGTTTCTATCGGCATTCAAATTGTTCAGCTTCTTTAGTTTTCCAATGCTCTTCGGTAATGACTGTGCAAACAAAACCAAAATAATACGCAAACAGAACTTATAAATTCAGAGTCAGAAGAAAACTTTTCTCATTTTAAAAATAAATTAATAGACCCATCCGTTTTGAAAACTGGAGTGTAGTTAATCTCTGTTACTACCAGGCCTTCCAAAGGATATCCAAGGCTTTATCTTGCAGAAGAAATGTCCAGAAAGGTCAGTTTCTAATACGAATTCACTGATGAGTTAGTTACCTCTGCACTAAGATAACTTAGGTGCTATGAACTGACTTCTGGAGAGGTATCTTTCCAACAGGCTTAAGCTGCTAACTCTCAACCAAGCACCAACCTAACCTAAGAAATGCTCAAACCTAGACTTTAAAACAACTCTACTCTCCAAGTGTCAATGCCATGGGAAAGCAGTTTCAACATAATGGAGAGAAACACCTAACAGAAGGAAATCTGAGATTTTTAGTTGACCACATATCGTATTTAATACCTGGTTGGAGATCAGCAGAGCAAGGAGCAGTACAGCAGCAGCTCTGCAGGGCCTGGGGCTTCTATTCAGTTTCAGCAAGTCTGATCCAGATAACGCACAGCAAAAATTGGTAGTAACACCACATAGCACAAACTCAGCATCAAAAACACAACAAAGTGATACCAGCATTCCACATGCTTCAATTCCCTTACTGGATATGAAAGATTCAAGAGTGAATATGTAATTGCTTAAGCCTTTGGAAGGACAGATTGTTACTACATACAATTTGATCTTCAGCATTCATTTAACAGGTAAGAAATAAGATGCATTTAAAGGAAACTCACTACATAGCAGTAGCAAGGGTAACTAATCTTACAAGCTAAGTGATTCAGCACTTAGCAGTAGGTCTTATTACTGTCAGCCATTTGAGCAGCCATGATCATGCTTACCTGCAGCTGGTTTTCTGTTAGAACCAGTTCAGTAAGGCTTTCGCAGTCTCCAATTGAGTCTGTTAGCTGAGTAAGTTTGTTCTGATCAACCTTCAGAATGGAGAGCCTCCTCAATTTTCCTGGAGAGAAAGCATACATTTTTTTAGTTTGGTATCCTCTGATGCCTGCTTTAATTACAGAGAATTTTACTGCTGCAAAGCTTTTAGAAATCATCTAACACAATGATTTATTTTTCTTTTCAGGTATAAAAAGAATTCAAGCACTGCTTCACTTGGTGCTCCAACTATTTCTGCAAGTTTATAACATCACTGAATCAATATATAACATCAATATTCATAGCTAATATTTAAGCATATTGAATTGTATTAAAGTTGCAATCTGAATGATAGCCCATGCAAATTTCAAGGAGGTGTCTACCCAAAGGCCTATAAAGAGAAAATTACAATTTTTTCCTCAATTATACAATGTTTATTAATAAAGAAGTGTTCAGAGACCACCTACATCTACTAATCCAAAGTAGCCAAGTGGAACCGAAGTGGCGGCCCACATCCAAAGAGGATCAAGATCTCCTTGTCCTAATATAGAATGCAGTTAGTCGGATATGAAACCCAAGTTTATTTGCTGGACTAGAAATCAAACTTCTTTGAAGGTCTTCTCCCCAGGAAGGACAAAATACTATTTCAGAGCAGAAAGTTCGCCTTGTTCTGCTCCTTTGTATCAGAATGGTCTCTGGTACAAAGCAGAGCTGCCCCAGGAAGAGCTCAAGACAGAGAATTCAAGGGACATCACCAGCTGCTGACACCTCCCTGTCCATCCCTACATGGTCCAAAATAGCCTAATAGGCTGGCACATCAAATTCACTGATGCTAAATCATGAAGAGACAGCTGATACTCAGAGAGACAGCAAAGTAAACAGAAACCTGAAGAAGCACATAGTTCTGCACCTGGGCAGAATAGATGTGCACTGGGTACAGGCTGGGAAGTGACAGGCAGCAGAAGAGCCCTGCTGGAAAGGGCCTGGGGACTATGGTGAGCACTAAGCTGAACATGAATTAGCAATGAGTTCCCACCAGAAATGAAGTAAACACTGGCTGGACCACATTAGGAGAATTATGGACAGCAGATCAATAGAAATTACTATATCCCATCTACCCAGCACCCATTAGGCCACACCTGTAAAATTATGCTCAGTTTTGTGTCCTGTCTCCCCTCCCCTGACTCCCCAGTTCAAGTAGGATGATGATAGGGGTTCAGTACAAAGCTATCAAGATGACCAGGGCACATGTGAGCTGAGGCTGAGAGCTGGCTTTGTTGACTCCAACAAAGAGGCAGTCAAGAAGATGTCTTGGAACAGCCCACAACTACTTGAAGGGCAGTTACAGAGATGACAGAAGCAAAATCCTCTCTGCAGTGGCAGGTGAGACAGCAGTGGCCACAAACCAAAGCCTGGTAGGTCCCAGCTGTACACGTGGAGAATCTTCCTCACAGGGAGGTGGTGCAGCACTGATGCAGGCTGCCCAAGGGTGCTGGAGCCACCTCTGTTAGGGGCTTCAGAGACTTGATGAGACACAACCAAGGCTGACCCAACCTGCTGATGTTGGTGACAGCCCTGCTCTGAGGGCTCCAAAGAGCCACCAGTCCAACCAGCGATTCGATGATCAGCTGAGCTCCTCCCAGTAGCTTCCAGATACCAGTGAGGTTCACTTCAACCACGCCACCAGGCTTTGTAAGAAAATTACATCCAGAGAATGTCACAGAATGCATGTGCAAACCAGGCTTGGCCTGAAATGACCTGTTCCCTTGCAATTGTCTTCCAGCTGGCGTTAGAGACAAGCTCCCCTCTAGCAGGCTGTATGGGCTGCAGCCTTTCAGAAGGTACATAGAACTCAATTTCTGATGTACAACTGTACCACCTCAAATCATCAGAGAGGGCTGCTACAACTCTCTACCAAACATACTAGCAAACTGTAGGACTCACAGTAGTCACCCCACTCCCCCAAGTTTAACTTCTAGAAAAACATTTCTCTTTTCTTAGGCTTATATAGTATATGGAGGGAAGGCGAATGTTTGCCCATTTTCCACATTCCCAGTTAAACCACATTCACAAGTCCTCCTTGAAGAACGCACACTCCTGCGGCATGAAACTCTCCAGAAAAACAGTTGATGAGTAGCAAAGAAACAATCCCTTGCTGACTACTTGTCACAACTACTGCAGGGTTAAAATATTTACCTTAAAAAAGGCTCTGGTAATGCTCCAGAAAACACTCTTCAGTTATTAAACCTATTTTAAGGGGTCAGATGGAGAAAGATTGTAGTTTGAATCCTCCCTCAAGGGTGAGGAGTAATGGGCTGAAGCTGAACAGGCTTCCACTGGGTTCAGTATAGGGGTAATCACGTTATGCAATTGAAGATAATTACACATCCCCATTAAAAAGGACGTATTTTTTACCAGTGATACTGTCAGTCTTATCAAGACCTACAGTATGTTACAAGCTAGAATTTTACAACGTTATGATGGTGACATGGGCACAGAAGGAACAGAGAGGACATAATAACTTTCATTTTGTTCATGTAGTAGGTATCAAGTAAAGACCAAAACAGGATTACAAGGTAGTCATTATGCAGACAATTAAGATGTGAAATTAATAGAGCTACACATTTCATACCAAGCAAAACAAAAAAAAGCTGAGGCAAGCTCATCTTTTGCACAAAATGACTTCAAAAGACTTGAAAACAAATTACTTGCAATTTACAGTGGATTAAATGGTTCTGTGTGATAGCATTCACCTTGTACTTACCAATGCCATCAGGTAAGACCTGAAGTAAATTTTGAGAAACAAGCAGGTCTGTTAAAGAAGTCAGACCACTAATTTCTTCAGGAAGGCATTCCAATTTATTTTCAGAAACATCCAGACAAAGCAGGTTTTTCAGGTTTCCTACTTCCTGCGATACAAGGCAAAAAATTTAAGTCATGCCCAAACATGTAACAAAGCAATTTGAAAAATGTGCCATCGCAATGAAATTCCGGAAAGAAAAACAATTCTCTGAATGACCTCTAAATTGGCCATTCTTTGTATGACCTAAAAATGCAGAATCAAGTAAATAACTACATTTTACATATGGTAAAACAAGTGATTCATTCAGTTTCTTATTCTAACTATTAAGACTGGCTTCAATAGCCAGACACGGTATGCTAAGCACACCCAGGCAAGCACCAGTCTAAACTGGAGTTTTCCTGAAATAAAGACTGCAAAATTGTTTTTTCAGAACTAGAGATTATCAACCTCCATGTAATTAAAAGTCTGCCCCTCCCAATTAACCCTAGGCAAATTAGGATTAGTCTCTCCTGGCTGATACAGCAACATGCCATGACATCTAGGGATTTCATATCTTCACATCTCCCATCTGCAGCAAGTGTAGAAATAGGAGCTGGGAGAGTTGCTCTAGCAAGCATATTGAACTGCCAAATTACACTGCCATCATCTACAATTATTAATGATTACTTAATTATTTTTATTTTACAATGGTATCCAACAATTAGCTTAAAATTCTGACAGAGAAATGCCTTTGTCCCTATTAGCCATCAGAGCACACTCCCATTCCCCATGTACACAGATACCCCTATACACACTCCAGAATAGTTCTCATTTTAGTCATACAAATCATCTTCCAGAGAACAGAATGTCTGGAGCAGAAGCATACTTCACTTTTACATATATAAAGTTTTCATACAGTGACAGCCTTGATCTTAACTGACAAATCAGTCCTTTTATTTTGGAAATGTTTGCTTCTCAGGAGAATCTTCCATTAAACACACACACACACACCCTCTTTATCCTACAAGTTCATCTTTTGGACATTAGACGAAATACACAATAATGACCACCTTCAAGAAAAACAGATGCTGATGTCACACTTGACGTTTTATGAGTGATTATCAGTGTTTAACTACATCTACTTAGAAAATTATTAGGCCAAACCAACAACAACAAAGCCAACAAAGCCCACTAAACTGTAACTCATTTTCAGGTACCACTGTTGACAATGAGATCAATACAGCAAATAACAGTAAACTGAGCAAGGAATGGAGAAAAACATTATCACAGTTCTTAAGAAAGGGAATTTAAAGCGCTGTAAGCTTTAAATGCTAAGGCCTCTCATCCCATGACTGATGTCAGATGGGGGATTTGTCTGCATAGATCAAAATTTCTATTTATGGCAACAGTTTTGTTATTGTACTTCTCCAAAACACTGTATTTGAATGGATGAAGATGACTGCAAAAAAAAGCCCAAACAAAAACAACTCCAATGATTCGTTCTCAAAACTGTCAAAACTACAACTCAGATAGATAAAAAAAGGTGAGGGTTAGCTCAGTCAGTGAGTGGCTCCCTGATCATTGGGAGTGTTAATGGAGGATGTGTCATCCTTTAAATTGAACAATTCCTCTGTCAAAATGTTTAAAAGGAAATGTCTGACAATATGCAATATCATGTGCAATCACTTGCAGAGGAACTTTTTAAAGAGAAAACTCTTACACATCCAAAACTAAACCCAGGTAAAATGAACTGAGAAAACTATTTGATTTTAAATCGCCTCCCTGTGGGACTTAAAGACAAGGTTTTGTTTTAAAAGCATTTTCAAAACAGCATCAGTACAGCTCATCTTTACCTGAGGTATTTCAGCTAATTGGTTTCCATCCAACCAGAGGTCTTTAAGATTGAAAAGTGCACCAATTGTTTCTGGCTATAACATAAAAAGTAATAACGTTAAGTAGCATAGGAGCTTCCAGGAAAAACTAAATGACCACCTTGCAATTACAGTCTGAGTAAACCAATCCTTACTCCATGCACTACTTAGAGGTTCCATGGTTAAATGCAGTAAGGGTGACTGTAAGCATTTGGGAACTCCATCATACAAACTAATTGTTATAGCTTAACAAGCTATCACACTTTTCCTGACAAGCACTAACAAATTACATGCAAACTCTTAATCTACTGCAAATCCAGCATTTAATTGAGTCATCTTAAAGGAGATGACGGGTATCTTTTGATAGATCTATCTGCCACAATGTGAAACACTGTGATTCTCAACAGTTTGCCTCAGCCTCTTCTCAGAGATTCCTACTCCCACCCTGAAAATAAGTGAGCTTTCATCTGTGCTCAGTCTGTCCAGCTCCCTGCAGAAGCCCATGAGTTTATTGTAACTGCAAGTGCAGACAAGACTCCTTTCTGTAGGAAAAGTCTATGCAGTGCTCTCATTTTCTAAAGATAAGCTGCAGCCGTGTTGGGTAAAGTAGTATTGTACTGAACAAGACTAAGCAGATATACGAAGCACCAACTCACTGCCCAAATTCATCTGTATATATAAAGCCTCTCCCTCCATACATTTTTTGTTCTTCAATTTTGAACATCTTTTGGCCTATTTAATCTAAATGATGCATAAAACAAGATCAACATGCGCTTTCAGTGGCATGTTCTCTTACCAAGTGATAAAGTTCATTGTTTCCTAAATCAAGTTCTTCTAGTCGCTGCAGCTGGGCAAGTGATCTGTACGAGGAGATAAGTCAAAACAAAACCACATCAGACTAAACCAACAGAAACCCCATATATTTGAATGAGCTCATTTTACTGAGACTCGTATTTCAAATGACAATGTATTATAGACAGACAGTTATTTTACTGCGCATAGACTATTTTCAGTGATATCTTACCGAAAAAATAATTTGGCTTGTCAGTGTAACTATACATCCTTTAAATGCAAAACTTCATGTAGGCAATCAAATCATCATTCTTTATTTTAACCACAAGCCCCTCAGGGTGGACAAAGCTACAAAGTTTAGTGTAATTGGTTAGATTTATTTTTAAGGAAAATTTACAGTTGTGCAACTGGATAAAAATTCCCTATAGCGATCATATGTAACAGTGTGATTCAAGAATCAATAAATCCATCATTTATTTCTTCAACGTGATCTATCCATTTCTGAAGTATTTCATCTTGGATTTGAGGATGCAAACAGAGGAAAGTCCATAAGGATGTAAAACAAGTTCTTTGAACATGAGCATACACAAGGGGCCATCCTTCTACTTTAAAAGCAGTCTGCTGTAGAGCTCTTGCTTACCTTCCCCAAAGCCACAGTAGCATGAAAGCCAGCAAGACTAGTCAGCTACATTACTGACAGCCAGAATTTTCCAGGAGCAATAAAATTGTCAAGATTTATGATAGCTTCATTCTAGTGCATCGCAAAACCTAGCTAGCAATTCATATCTTCTGACCACTGACATTTAAAGTGCAGTGTTAAAAAAAATAACAGCTGCAACCGAGGTAGTGGGTAGACTGACAGGAAAAAAGGACCCCAAAGAAACAGGGGAAGAGATTCTGATTAAAATAGGTTAAATCTATTACAGTATTTACTAGATTAAGTAAACAAGCACAACAGGAGTCATCAAATCTATTGCAAGAAGCAGTCAGGTCATGAAGGAAGGGAAATACTTCAACAGGTAAAAGAGTCTTCTTCCAGGCAGCCAAAAAGGATCCCCAAAACTTCAGATACCTGATTAACCTTACAGAAGGCCACCCATTCCTCTGCCGTAGTACAGACTTCACAGAAATATCTAGGTATCTTTTTTCCCCAAAAAATTACGGTGGGAGGAGTCAGGCTTCAGACATCAGTAGGCCTAGTTTGTCACCAAGGCTTTGATCTCTTAGTTTTAGAAGCTTTCAGTTACTTAGCCCTGAACACAAATGCTTATTTAAATGCTGTGAGGGTCTAGAGTGCAAATCTTTCAGATCCTATTACCCTACTTTCACAGTTACAAAATTTCAGCATGAAAACAACCCAAACCACCATTCCCACTGCTGATGTGCTCGTTCAAGGTGTGCAGGAAGAAACGTTTGGTGCTGCTGTGTTATACAGAGTATTTTTATAGAGCAAAACCAACTGACACAGACTGCAGGCTCCTGCTACTAAGCAAGTACAACTCAGTGTAATGGATGTAACTAGTGCCGCTAAAACAAAGCTGTATTTCATACATGTTGTTAATTTGCAATGATTTTTTTTTTCTAGCTGCCATTCACTTTCGTATGTTACCAGATTTTAGGACTAAGAACATCTTATGTTACTACAATTAAACACATGAAATGTCACTTACTCAGGTAAGTATGTCAGCAAATTTTCTCTAAGTTCCAGTGAGGCCAGGTTATAAAGACTAAAAAAGAAAAAAAGAACAAACCACATTTTAATGCAATCTTACTTTTTATATTCCACACTTTGAGAAGAAAAATGTGTGTTTACACAGTTTAAAACAAAATTGCTGTGAACTGGTTTTCTTGGTTTAATTCAAGATCATCACGTGAAAGGCGGCATACAAAGACTGGAAGATTTTGTCTGTTTCTTTGTGATACTTCAACACACACTAAAGCTAGAAAGTAAACAGTAAAAACACGAGTTTCTATTTGTTAAAATGTCCACAGCTGCAAGTTACTGAACAAAGCATATTCAATATGAATTGCATTTCCTTACACACTTTCAGAATCTGGCATGGGCTACCAAAGTTACAGAGCCCCAGGTAAACCCATCACTGTCCTAATGACAGTGTGCTCATTACTGTAAGTGACATTATGCTTCTAAGCGGCTCACTTACTCCATATCCCAGGCTTTTACTCACATCACCATAGCAACATTCAGATTTTTCAGGGGCTTATTTATGGCTAAATGGAACACAAGGAGTCAGACATTATCCCAACACCATAATCTGCTCTAATCCTCCAGCGACCCAGGGAAAAATAAAAATCTGATATGGTGACTGCAAATACATAGTTTCCTACAACAGAACATTGCAGGGAAGGAGGAACAGTGTGCTAGGCCTTAAATAAAACCTAGATTAAAAAAGAAATTCCACTAAATTTGAAACACATGTTAAGGCTAAACCCAAAATGTTTTTGCTTGTACACCCTAGGAAAACAAAACAAAACAAAAAACCACCACATACTCTGACCACATAAAATTGAACTATTTGTTTTCACTTCAGTCAATACAAACATACTGAATTACAGGATCATTAGTTAGCCCCAGCAAAAAAGCAGCTCATAACCTGAATAAAACTGAAGAATTAGTTTTTAAAGGGGGAAGATGATTTTTCACAGATTGACTTTGGATAGTGCCTGAAAAATACATCCTTATTTCAAGCACTTATTTCATACTGCATTCAGAAAACAGTGAACAAAATCTCACAGAAGCTTTGATTACAGCCTCAGCAGTTCTCTCCTGCTTTTAAAATAAGCACATTTTACCCAGTGGGTTCTGTATTCCTTCAGAAGAAATACAGTTAAACTGTATATTGTATAAGTGAAGATATTTTACTAGAAGCCTATTACAAATTCAATTAAAAGATAAGTGAGAATAATTCTGCTTCTGCTGCTCAAAATCATATGACATAAGGAAGCCAACAACACAAGGGAAAACTCTCACATAAAAATTTTAACACTATAAAACACAAGCCAAGGTGAGACATGCTATCTAGCATCCTCACAGAAACCAAACCAGGGGAGCAGGAAAGGGTGATGGAAAACAATTTCTCTCCAAAAGGAACATGGGTCTGCTCTTACATTGCCACTCACAGTCACACAGACTGCCATTACATTTTTGTTTACAGGTATTCTAGAAACCTATTCCAATCTTCCTTTGAATTTTGCACTCTCTTCAAGCTTTTATTTGGTGAGCCCTATGATTCACTTTTATCAAGAGAATACAAAAGGATGCACACACCACCAAGCTGGCTTGTAATCTTGTGTTTATAGATCACCCCGCATCTACTTATCTCCCTCCCAATCATGTTGAAGTGCCGATGAGTAAAATGGTGCAATCTCCTAATTTCTCTTCTTACATCAGACACCACTTTGGCTGTGGTTAAACAGAAATCTTTGTCAGCAAAACCACACTCAACAGCAAGAACTTGGGAACCACCATCTTAACCAGCTTCATCATATCATTGAACTGGGGCAAGCCAGTGAATCAGCTTCATGAAACTGATCCTACTTAAAAATAACCCAGCAAGAAGAGTCACACAGATCCCTAATCCAACATAGAATAAATCCTCTTAAACACCTGGGCCAGTACAACAGAAGGTGCAAGGCAGGCATCCATACTGCCCAAGCCAGCAGTGTGATGAGGACTCACTGGTAGCTGTGTCCTCATGGATACCCACCAACAGCTCTCCTTGCATCCAACCGTGTACCATTTTGGTGGCCAATCACAGTGCCAGGCTAGGTTCTCTTCTTATAGCAGTCAGCTGCCTACAGGATTATGTTTTCATGTCTAATGACACAGCTTGCTGGAAGAAAAACGTTTAGTCTACGCTATTCTCACCCACAGCATGCTCACAACTATAACCCTGCCCTGAACAAGACAAAGACACTGCCCTCCAGCCCTTTAATCTATCCTTTCTACTTTTTCCAAGGTCGTGAGTCCAAACCCAGTGTATGTGGACCCCAACAGGCAAAATGAAGCTTCCCACCAAGTAATGTAAAATAGAGACTAAGTCTACGAAGCTTATAGCAGCAAAGTTGCCCCATTAGACTGAAGGATTATGTTTAAGGGTGAATCCACCTGAAACAGTCCAGAAAACGAGAAGTTTTTGACTCATTATTACTCTTAAATTTCAACTAGTTACAGAAGCAGCTCCCAGCAAACCAATGTGCTGTATTGAAACACCAATCTTCTATGCATTACCAACCAGAGCTATAGGTCTTCCAACAGGTTCTTAACACATTGTATGTTCACTAACATTTTTCTGGTTTCAAGGTATTTCAAGAAACAGGATTTCTACCCATTTGCAGGAAAAATCCAACATTACTTGCTATTTTTCAGATACGTTTTCTGATTTAATAACACTTTTTCCACAGAAAGTGGAAAAAGTTCTTCTTCTCAACTACAAATAGAGATTTTTCACAATACACCAAATGAAATAACTTATTCTTTTCCCTCTGCCCTTAATTTCACAGGTGCAACATTTGTCAAGAGTCCTTCTGAAGTCTCTGGAAGGGACTAAAGGAACCCATATGATTTCAGTTTTTCTTTCCCTAATCACGATCTTCATCTAGGACAGAAAAATAGCCTTGGGGGGTTACTTGCTTCGATCCATAAACACCAAGGTAACAGCAATCTAGTCTACTCAGGCAGGAGACATACTTCCATCAGTGGCTGTTCACTTTGTGCATTTAGAAACACAAATGCACCATAGAACATTGCAGGCTACTCTCCAACACAAACAGTCCTCGCTCCCTGCCCTCTCCCCCCTCCCCCCCCAACAGAAAATGCACAAGCAAAATGTCATCTATATTCTAAAGGAGAGAGAAGAAAAATAACCCCCTAAGTATTTTTCCATGACTACTGTCGTAAGAAGCTATTTCACCAAAGCTTGTAAAAAGCTTTAATATTGTAATAATTCTCACTGCAAAACCTACCACACACACCTTGAACACTGAGCATTGTGTGAGGTCACTGAACACAAGGCAACAACCAAATTAGGTGGAGGATGCAGTAGCTGAAATAATTACGAAGTTTACGAACTCAGCATTCCAGATAATTTCTGATATAAGGGTGGAACAAAGTCAAATGTCAACGTACAATACGGCTGAAAATGCCACTTTCAGTACAAAACAGATACACTTATTCAGTGCTGTACCTAAAGTTATGGTAGGTATTGGTATTCATCTTGAATGAAATGAATGCAAAATCAGTGACTGAGAACAAAATTAATAGTGACAAAGTAGTCCCTAAATGCTGAAAGCATCTTTCCTGAGAATTCCTGTCAGGATTTGAGACAGAAACTCGCAATCCAACATGGTCTACAAATAGGGAACACTGCAAATGTGTCAACCACAGTGGTCTCCTCCAAAATAAAGGTAAGACTAGAACCAGCAGCTAAGATTGGAACCAAAGCAGCAGCAGCAGCATCTTCTTCAAAGCAAGTCAGTTTTTCTTTGGACTATTTACAAAGAGATTATCAGTGGCAACATGCTCTACTGAACACCCATTTCAAAAGCAGGTGACTCTCTGGACAAAAGCAATGCACTGCAATAGGTAAAACAACATCAATTGTGGTTAGAAAAAAAAATTTAAAAGAAACAAAAAAAGAGACAGAAGAGACACATGTTCCCTCATTACCTTGGAAGAAATGACATTTTCGGTGTGCCACACACACCTTATATACACTCTTGTCTTGTAAAGTAATAAAAAACAAAACTGAGATGAATTACCTTAGTACTTTACCAGGAACAGCTCCATCATTCCCTTATTCAAGGGGACAGAAAGCCAGCCTTAAGAGTGACGACAGACAACATTATATATCCCAGTCCTGCAAACACCACAGGGAGCACCCAAGCCCCTGCTGTACACCAGCAAAGGCTTCTGAGGAAAGTACTGGAAATAAAGTAAGACATATGCTATCTTCTTGTGAAAATGAAGTTAAAAATACAAAGGTGGAAACAGAAGTCTGGAAAAAGCTAGGGGAAAATGAAGACAGATAATAAAAGGACTAATGTAAAAGCTGAAGGTGTTTAGTCAAAAGAAGCTGGACAACAGCCTTCTCTTACTTGAGCAATAAAAATCACACACTTCGACTTTATGTCAAGAGCACCACACAGCTGAACACGCAACAGTAGAAGTCAGGCTTTGGGAAACAAGGAGGCAAATTTGGAAGAGATGAAGATCTAAAGCACCTGCGAAAATGTATGACCCCATTTGCACCCTTTCCAGCAAGTTTCAGCTGGTTAGGGAAATGTAAAGTCCCAGACGCAATTTTTCCTGACATTTGTAAGACTGCAAAGAGAAGGGAAAGTTAGGAGAACAGGCATAGTCCCCACATTTATACACAACAAGGGAAGATCCTACACAATAAAGATGTTTAAGGTGAGAACAGATTCTCTTCTCACAGAATCACAGTACAGATTCTGAATTTGGTCTGGTATTAGCTGTTTTTTTTATGCAGCAGTAGTGATGGCTACAGAACAAGTCCAAGGAAGCAGCATATAAAATCCACATTTTGGCTATGTCCATCAGTTTCAAAGGAGTTCAGTTCACTGGGCCAGCATCTGAAAATTACTGTTACTTTGATAACACCTGCCCTGCATCTCTCTCCATACAGCACACACACATTCATTGTGACACTGAGAAGAAAAGGAGTTTAAACTAGGCAACTCATTTTCT